TGCTAGCTACGAGCTGCTACCAACTTGGTCGCAACATGTAGTTTGGTGATATTACCAAGAAGAGTTACTTCTCCGGGCAAAAGAAGCCAGACTGATGGGAAATCTCGGCTGCGCCGTAAGGGCAGCTCATTGCGATTTGCGAAAGTCAGGTTTGACAGAAGTGTGAGGATCCTCGATGAGGTTTCACCCGGAGAACTAACCCTTCCCGAAGGATCCCCAGGAATCTACTCGGATTCGGTAGTTCACCCAGAGAAGTAACCCTTTTCCGGGAGAGCGAACCCTTTCCCTGGAGAAAGAACCCTTCGCAAGACAAGACGGGCCAGGACGGCCCCACGACTGCGGAATGGGCGTTTCGGACAGCTCCAGACCACCCACGAACAGGCCCCAAATGAACCCAAGAGCGGGAGCAGGAGGCCGCCAGCGACTTCCGAGAGGATTCCACGACCCCCCAGAAGCCCCCAACACACGCAGACCCCTGAGAGGTTCCCAACGCATCCCCGACCAGGCCCCCAAAACAGCCCAAGAGAGCTTTGAGAGCCGTCCCGGGAGAGAGAGCCTGAAGAGGTTAAAATCATTGCTTCCAGTGGTGTTAGTCGACGCTTTTCGCCTTCTCACGCTTTCTCGCTCCAAGACCGTGGAATTTGAAACAAAGGAATTCCAGATGCTCCATTTTTCAAGTTGGGACTCATACTCCATAGTGATCTTGCCCTCTTCCACGAGTCCCATCAAGACTTCGGGGTCGCATGCACAAGTGTTTCGGGAGTGCGGTTGAACTCTCCGACGCTGCCTTGGCACTCTCTTGGGTCGTTTTCGTGTCCTTTTGGCTGCCCCTGAAGCCATTATAGAACACGATATCCCTTGATCACATGAGCTGAAGCAGTGGAATTGTAGATTTCCTTGTTGTCAAACTCACCCACGAAATGTCCCGCGGGGATCCAGGGCAGCCCCAGATAACGTCAAGACGGCCAAGAGGATTCGACGAGCGCTCCCCAGGGGGCCCCAAGATTTCCGCAGCTCCACGACGTCCCAAGAGGCCTCCAAAACCGCCCCAAGACGGCCCAAGAGACCCCCCAAACCACCCCAAAACAGGCCAAGAGGGTCCCAACACGGCCCGCCCAAGAGGGCCCCAGGACGGCCCCAAGAGACACCCACGAGCACGTTTCGAGTGCTCCGTCCCAAGATGCCTCCAGCCGGCCCAAGGGGTTCGCCGAGCGTTCCCCAGAGGGCCCCAAGAGGCAAAAACCATTGATGTTCTAAGGTTTGTCACTGCTTTCGGGGCTCTCCGTTGTTCTAGCTTTCAGCGCCCCGCGACGTCCGAAAAGCCTCACCTGAGACGGACCGCCAAGAGGCCCCCAAGAGCACCCAAAGACGGCCCAAGGGGGCCCCGAGCGGCCCTAGAGGCGCCCAAGACGCCCCAAGACGGTCCCGAGAGGTGCCCGAGCGCAGGAGCCCGAAGCGATGCTTCGAGTCTTCCGCCCAAGATGGCCCCAGACGGCCCTGGAGGACTCGATGAGCGCTCCCGAGATGGCCGCAAGAGGCAAAAGCCAAAGCGTCTCCGTAGGTTTTGATATGTGCTGGGAGGTCTCGACTTTCGAGCTTCTGGCGCTCCACGACGACTCAAGAGGCCCTCAAGACCGCCCCGAGGCGGTCCGTAGCCATTTTGGCTCAAGAGCCGCCTTGCTCAGACCATCTGGTATCCCGACGGGGTTTGATCTTTCGCAGGCGGCGCCATGCAGCGAGCGCGGCAGGTGCCGACTACGAACGGCGTGTGTGAGCCAGATCGGTACACGGACACCGCCGAGGACGTCCTCATGGACGTGGACTCCCGGGGCTCGCGGAACCACCATAAAAGCCAGTGCAACCCTTGGGTACATTGGCAGCGGCGAGCCGTGCCCCCGCGGGCAGAACTGCGATTGCTGTCGCTACCACCACGGCCCTGAGAAGTTCCTCACCATGACCGTGTATGTGAAGGGGCCCTGGGACACAGATAAATACACACAAATAGAAATATCCCTTATATTTTGATATATTTTCTGGGTTTCTGTCTTCCCCCCCACTTCCCATATTTTTCCATATTTTCTGGAGAATCGACGATTCAGTGTGTCTGTGTGTGTGTTTTGTCCCCTCCTGAGTATGTGTCCGCGGCGCAGCAGCGACGCCGCTGGGCCGCGGGCCGCGGCCGCGGCCGCAGCCCGCGCTCCCTCTGGCGGCGGCAGCGCGGGCGCGCCGCGGCGCGGCGGCAGGGCCGGCGCGGCCGAGCCGCCGTGTGCGACCGCCCCCGCGGCAGCCTGGCCGCCCCTGCTCGGCGCCAGCGATGCCGCACGGCCACAGCAGCGTTCAGGAGGGACAAAACAACACAGACCCAATTAATCGTCGATCCCCAAGAAAGTATGGGAAAATATGGGAATTGGCCGGGAAGACGAACCCAGAAACTATGGGGAAATAGGGGGAACCTTCTTATTAGTGTGTACTTATTTGTGTGTCCCAGGGCCCCTTGAAGTGTGTCCTGGAGGAGCAGCCGCGGGACGTCGCCGGGGGCGCGGGGCCGATTGGCTGCGGCACGTCGTCTGGCTGGGAGGCGCCCGCCGTCGTCCCCGAGGCGACCGCCGTCGTTCTGAAGGCCGGCGGCGCGGCGCTTCTGGCGGCGGTTCTCGACGCCCGAGCGTCGCCGGCGGCGGCCGCCTCCGACGCCGCGGCGGAGTCCTTCGACGCCGTGAGGGGCGCCGCCGCTCGCTGGAGGCTGGGCCGCGGGGCCCAGGCCTGCAGGTTGCCGGCCGGCGCCTGCCCAAGGAGGCGATGGCTGGCAGCTGGTGGGCGCTGTCGAAAGGGCGGCGCCCCGGCGTGCACCGTGGGAGTGCTTCTCGCCGCGATACGTCACCGACACGCGGGTGGAGCAAGAGCTGGGGGATGCGCGGCCCAGGTTCGCCGTGCATCTGGCCTGTCCCGCCGTCCCGCCGCCGTTTTGTCCCCCTCGCACGCAATGAGGGGCGCGCGGCCTGGCACCCGGGGGTAGGCTGTGAGTGCTGCCGTGCGCGCTTGCTCCCTTCCCTCCACGCCGCCGCTCACCTCTTCACGGTTATATGCAACCGAATGCACCTTTGTTGTCCGCGCGCCAGAACGATGAAGTGATAATTATAGGTGGCAGTCGAATTCATAGAACCATATCGCACCAATGCGTGCACTCTAGTTCTCGCTTGCACGGTTCCTGCCATCGTCGCCTCTTCTGGACGGCAGTTCTCCGCCGTACGAGCCACGCAGAGGGTGCACATGCAGCGGCAGTCCACGCCCGCCGCCCCCGCTCGGATCGATTTCTCACGTGATTGAATTCGGAAATTGGAACATATACACTACCAATGGCGGGCTCTCTTTCAATCCCAGGACTTTGAGAGTCGGGGACGACGTCGGGGTGGTGTGGTGTATACTTGTCCCTCCGTTTTCCTGGGGAAACAACGAAGAATGTATACACCAGGATCCCGCGTACACCAGGATCCGCTTTCTTGTGCGAGATTCAGTGTGAGGCCAGACAAAGGTGTCGGTGTATAGAGTTCGGTTCCCTATGAATGTCACTGATTGCTTCAACGTGAACGTGTTGTTTGACCGGTCGGAGGTTGCTTAAGCCTTTGATGCACGTGTTGTTTGACCCGTCGGAGGTTGCTCGGCTCAACAGCCTACGGCAGCGTTGTTGCGCTGAGATGCGCCGTGACCTTCAGTGTTGCACTGGCAGGCAGGCCACAGCACGGTCATCTATTTCGATGCTGAAGCACTGGCCCTTGAAGCGTGCATCCATTTCATGATTCCGATTCTCACATGATCAGCTGCGCATGGCGGCGTGCCACGTCGCGTTTAAGTTCACAGCTGGCGGGCCGCGCACGGCCATGTGCCGAACCGGGGATCGAGAACCGAAATGAATGAGGGAGCAGGGATCTGGGGAGGTTGGCGGGGTGTGGGGTGGGTTGACATGGTAGTCGCAGCGGTGCCCTTTCACGACTGCGGGCCGATACCAGCAAGGAGCGTCGAAGGCCACGTTCTCCCTGCTGGCAGTGTCACGACGCGTGCGCGTTGAGTGCGTGTCACACGCGCGCGCGCGTATGACGTCTCGTGCGATCTCGTGCGCGCCCGCGAGCGGGCAAGCTGCCCAGACAGAGCCACACCGCGAGCTCATCTTTCAGTGCCTGCGGGTGGCAATCGCACACGCCCAAGTTTCCCTGCTTTTCCCTTCTCTGAAGGAGGAGGAGCAGGAGGAGGAGGAGGAGGAGGAGGAGGAGAAGGAGGAGGACGAGGAGGAGGAGGAGAAGCTTTTCCCCTGTCTGATTCCCTTCTTCGCCTCCTCCCCCCTCCGTCGCTTCTCCTCGCTCGTTCGGTGACCTGGGCGTCCTCGGTGTGCCTGGGGTCCTGCCTGCGTGCAGGCTTGCCGCTGCGTGTTTCCGTGCCGCGCTTGGGGCCTTTCAGATCTATGTTTAAGTCGGGCATGGCACTATACAGGGGGGGATATTCAAAAATAGTCAAACAATAGTCTGGGGACTATTTTGTAACTATTTCGTCCATGATCCCCATGTAGGAGGACAGGCCCGACCGAAATCTATATATCGGCCAGAGTCGCGGTCTGCAGGTAGCTCGATTCTGCAAGCCGCAGGAGGCCGAGGGAGCATCGTCAGGGGACGCTGGTGCACCCTCCGTCGCGCGGCCATGGGCTTGTGCATTCAGCAAGCAGTCCGACCCCTGCCTTGAGCAACATCAACAAACATATGTTGTTGATGATGATGATCATCATCATCACCATCATCAGAGTGGCCTTCCTCGCACCCATCAGTGTCGAGACAGAGGCACACGGTCCCAGTGAATCGAGGCCAGCTAAAAATAAAGGGCTCACATTTGACCACCCGCTATGTTTCACTCCTCTGCGGCCTCCCGATCTTCATTCTGTGTCTGCCATGCCTCTGGCATCCGACATGGTGCCGCGAACGATTACAAGGTAATGCACTTCGTGGCCGCGCTTGGGGAGGTGCCCACGCGCGCGGTCGTTGGCGTAATGCCCAGCAAAAACACGATGCGTTGCCCCAGCCCGAGAGGACCTGGAGACTTCATTTCTTTTCCGCTGTATCAGTGCTGCGATGCAGAACTGGCGCAAGGCAGGTAGATGTGTGTGTACTCGACGCGCTGTCCGAGTCGGCAGAAACAAAAACAATACGAAAACCAATCATATACACATAAACATAATACCAACCATATTTTGAATCTAAAAGAACGAGCCCCGAGACGGTACAAGAGGCCCCACGAGGGTCCCTAGACGGCCCAAGAGAACCCCTAGATGGCCCTAGACACAAACGGAACACAAACCGTTTCCTCGTCAAGGACGGCGTTACGTTAAATTGTGTTATCTTGTGGAGCTCGGGGGGGCGCTCTGGGAGCTCCCTTGGCGCCCCTTTGGGTTCTCCCAGGGTGTCCTCTGGAGGTCTTGGAGGCCCCACAGATCTTCAGAGTTCATAGACTCCGGAAAAGCAAGACACGCCCCAGAACGTGCAGTCGCCCGATCACGTCCACAAACGACGACCACAACCACGACCACGACCAGTACGACGACTACCGCGACGATCATCGCGACGGCGGCGGCTGCGGCGACGGCGCCCGCGGCGGTGGCGACGGCCTGGCGGCTTGGAGCCTCTGGGGCCCTATTTGGCCACCGTGGCAGTCACGGCACTTGGGCAGTCTGGGAAACACTCGGAGCCTTCCGACGCGTCGCACGTCGATCTTCGCACGGTTCCGCGACCGCCCACCGAGTTTTAAGGTAACCCTCAGAAGGCTCGCGCCAAGGGCGGTCCTCCTTTGGGGAACCTCTCTTTGGGTACCTTGAGTTTTGTGGATCAGCGCAAGGTCTATTGACAAAGGCTGTGCAGTCGTCTAAAATCTTAAGCGCGCGCGTAGCGCACGCGTGGTTTCAATATTCACGTACACATGTATATATGGCAATGTATACATGTACGCGTATGTGTATATACAAAATAGTACAACAAGTCTATAATATTGTGCAACAAGTCTTTAAATATTGTACTATAGGTGTATATATATAGATACACAATATAAGATTATACATCAAGTACAATATGTGTATATATAGAGCTATACACACAACTCTATAAATATATAATATTGTACAGCTTCGTGTCGCGACCTGTTCGCGGCCCCGTTCGCAGCAACTCGTTGCCCAGGGGGGAGGGGGCGTGGAGTACGAGCAAAGAGGCGTCGCGCGGTGCGTGCCACGAGTTAGGGGGTGTTGGAGTCGCGTAATGCCCCCATTCGTTAGCGTTGGTCGGATGGGTCCTGCGGTCCGCTGGGGGGGTCCGACCCGTGTATGCGATTGTATCACCGCTTGTTGCGTACATGGTAGCTTGCGAGGTCTTTGCTGCGTGATGCCTCTCGGTGAAGGCGCAGCTGCTCCCCCGAGGTTCGGCCTTGACCTCGTCCAGTTCGGAGCGTAAGGGGGGCGATTGGCACCAGAGCGATTTCGTCATCTGGCGAGTGGACGCACGATCGCACTGTACGCCTTTATACACGAATGATAATATCCCAGCAGTACTCCGCATCGCCGCGTTCATTCGTAGTTTCTTTGGGCTCCCGTTCGCTAGCCGCCATCCCATAAGAGCGATCACGTTTCTCGACCCTGGTAGCGTAGCGCACTCACTCCTTAGCTTTGTTCGGATGGGTCCTACGGTCCGTCGGGGGAAGTTCGACCCACGCAGGCGATTGTGGCAACGTTTGTTGCGTGCACGGTTGCTTGATGGATGGATTTTGTGAAGGCTTTTCGGCTGGTGCCGCCGACCCTGAAAGACATCGACGACGACCAGGAGGGGAAGGAGAAAGAGGAAGAGGAGGCGGAGATAAGGAGGAAGAGGAAGAGGAGGAGGAGGAGGAGGAGGAGGAGGAGGAAGAGGAGGAGGAAAAGGATTCCCCCCTGGGCCCCCCCCCCTTGGGGGGAGGACCGGAGGAAGACTGACGTGGGAGAGGGGAGGGTCTGCACGAACGAGATGGGCACGGAAAGAATGGGCACGATGCCCAACAGCAGTTCCTGCTTCTTTTGGACAGGACTCGCTGTCCGCGCCGCCGCGGCCTATGTCCATCTGAGACAGAAGGCCGCCTGCCCAACAGCGGCCGCTGTTGGCTTGGGACAACATTTGTTGTTGGGCATAGTACCCATTCTTTCCGTGCCCATTTCGGGCGTCCAAAAGAGGGGACGGGGAGGAGGACCCCCAGGGACGGATGCGCATCTGACTCCCCTCCCCCGGCCTCCCCCCACTTGGGGCTCCTCCCCACCTGGGGAGGGACCCGAGGAGGACCGGCGCGCCAGAGAAGGACCAGCATGGGAGAGGATGACCCCCAGAGGCGATGCGAATCTGACCCCCCCGCCTCCCCAGGACCCCCGCCCCAGCCGGGGAAGGGACAAACGGAAAGGGCTTCCCTATGACGTAGTGAGGACGTGGATAGACTTCCCTCAAACTGCGACCCCGTTCCCCGAACGAGGAAGGGTGCTCTCTTTCTGTCTCCCGCGACGGGAGGGGAGGATGAGAAGGAGGGGGCGAAAAAAGGTTCCCCGCCGACGGGACCAGACAGACGCCCCACACACGCCGACAGGGTCGGCGGATCCGTGATGGGTGGCTTTCGGTGAGGCTGTTTTGCTCCGTTGCGGTTCGGTCTTGGCCTCGCTCAATTCGGAGCGTGCGGGGTGATGGGCAGTAGGGCGATTACGACCAATGGCGAGTGGACGCACGGTAAAACAGAAGCATGTGTCCATCCTGGCCCAGGGGTACGAACCGCATCCATATCCACCACCACATGGGGTCCAAGGACATGGATCACTTAGTCCGTGGTCATGGACCATTTCCCGCCTCGCAGAAACAAAGCAAACAACAAACTACAACGACCCTGCCGCTTCAGGGGTCCGCGGTGGCAGACCATTATCCCGCAGGGAGCAAACCTGCGACCGCCGGCGGCTTGGTAGGATCGTGCTGTGCCGCTTCACGTGAGTTTTTGGTAGTACACCTCCTTACACACATGTTCCATGTTCGATTATAATGTTATTCCCGTTTCCCGCCTTTGTCGCCATCCCCTCCCGTCCCCAACCCTTGTGCAACTCAGCATAAGCCAGTCTAGTGTAAATGTCAGGGTCTCCTGCTTGATCCGTTGGTTCTTTCTCTGTGACGCCAGGACGACAGCACCTCCCTAAGCATGTGTGGGTACTGCAACATGCTTACGCCATCACGCGCGATCGCGGCTCTGCGCTGAGGGCGCGCGTGGAGAAGCCGCACGCATTGTGCGACGGCGCCTTGGGGCCTCATGGGCAACGTTCGGAGGGGAAACCTCATGGGGGGGGCGCATCGACCCCCAATCGCTCATTGATCGCCGATGGGGGTCCGATAGCTCCACCCCAACTCGGATTGCAGTTTGTCCGTCGAGGGCATACGCCGATTCACTGTGGATTCCGCCGCCGTTGTATCGGCGATGTATCGCCGATTCCACGCCGATTCTCCCCCCTCCCACCCTCCCCCATGAGCCGCCCTCCTGACGTTGCCTCTCAGGGTCCTGGGTCCAGGGAGGCCTGCGACCGAGAGTTGCAGGGCTCTCGGGCCCAAATCCGTCCACCGCCCGTGTTCCAGGTCAGGGCCTGCCCCGACCCCCGTGACGTCGGCGAAATCCGACCCCCATACCGGGGCGAATCGTTGGGTGGTGTGGCTAGAGTTCGAATTTCGTCGAGCACTGGACGAAATACGGACCCTGCCCCGCATCCTGCCGATTCAGGAAAGCCGAGAGTTGGCAGGGGTCGGGGTCGGATGTTGCCACCTACCAGTCGGCGGCGAGAAAGTGGGGGAAATGAGAAGGGGAGGGCCTTCTCAGATGGCGGCGGGACTTCTCAGAAGCCCTCGCGCTTTCTGAGGAGTTTCCTGTGTCTCCGGGGGAGCATTCGAATACTTTTCAGAAGACGAGGCGCGATGTCAAGGCGGCCCTGGAGGGTGATCCCTCCTCAGCTCTGACCTGGCATTGCCCATCCGCAGCTGAAGCAGTGGACGAAGCCCACGTGGATAATAAGCTCCGAGTGAGGGGGGGCATCGCTGAGAAGACGATGTCCAACGACCTGATCGTCAAGTCAGAAGGATCCGTGGCTCGCCTGGAGTAAGGGCCGCTCAAGGGCAGCCGCCTCGCGCGGCATGGGTGCGCATGCCGCTTCGAGGAGGCGAAGGGCCGTTCCCATCGCAACCTCGAGGATGACCTCGAAGCGACAGGGGGCGAGAAGGGCATCGGGATGGTGCGCCTATGCGCAGCCGCCCCATGCACCCTGCCAGACGGCGAGAGGAGTCTGGCCCACGTCTGCTCGTCGCGCGTCGCCATTTCTAGCGCCCAGATCAACGTCAACGTGTCGGACCTGGCCAAACTCACGCCCGCAGGCCGTGCGCGCACATGCGCGCGGTCGGATCTGCTGCGCCCGGGCGCGCAGGAGCATCGGCAAGATTTGCGGGCGCATGCTCAAGCGTTTCGCCAAATGGCGCCAGGGGCGCCCAGGGCCCGGCATAGGGGGTGGGAAGCGTCGAGGGGATGGATCCGAAGTCGGAGACCGAGTCGGAGCCCAGCATCAACATCTGCGAAGCGGACATGATCGCCTCATCCGGAGAGGAGGGCACGCAGGTCTTGCGCCCGAAGGGCTGCAGAGAATCAGCCCGCCAGGGGCCAGTCTACCTGCCGGCGGAGGATGCGGCGATCTCGGGCACGCCCCGGAGGCGGGCGTTACTCGCATCTTCCGATCGCGCTCTTTCCACGCGCAGGTCTACGAGGCGCATGCGGCGCTGAAGACGCGCGCCCGTGCCCAGCGCTTGAATAAGAGGGCCGCGGAGGCGGGCGGCCCCCCCCCGCGGACACCGTCTGCTCGACGCGAGCGGCTGACCGCGTCGCGGCCTGGCGCAGCCGCTCCGCCACGCCGAGGCCCAGGAAGGAGAAGGTGCCAGGCTCGCGCCGGGCCAAGGGGCGGGAGATTCGCCGGGCGCGCGAGGACCGCCCTTCGGAGAACGCGGGGGCCAGCCCGGGGCCTCCACCTTCCGTGCTACCCGCGTGGCCGACGCGGGTGCTAAATCATGTCCCTGTTTGTTTTTTGTTGTCCTTCACAGCCCTCCCTTGTCCTTGTCTGTCCCTGTTTGTCCGCGTTTGTCTCTGAAGTCCTTGTTTGTCATGTTTCGATGGGCGTGGTCGCTTGAGGACTTGATTGGTTGGCTTGTCGGTTAGCTGGTAATGGGCTTGGGATGTGTTGGTGGTTTCGTGTTGTCGTGCTGCCGTATTGCCGTGTGCGTGTAGCTGTTGGTTGTTGTGCGGCGTGTTGTCGTGTTGTCGTGTTGTCGGATTTAGAATTCGATGGAACGCTGCATACGCGACATGCTGCTAGGTCGTCGTGCTCATTTGCCGACATGGTGGGGTCATGCACGCTGTGAGATCAGAATTCGGCGTTTATTGAACAACGCGAGCACGTTTCGCATGGTGCGCTGTTTGCTGTGACTTCTTGATGAACGATAAATTCACGTAGTCGCGAAGGAATCAATAGGAATATCTTCGTTTACATATGACATCTCAGTGGGGCCTTGACAAATCTGATTTGGAACGGCCCAAGGCATCCACTGTTCTCTCGTGGCCTGCGTGGAAGGCCCCAAATGTTACGGCAGATGCGCATTTGGTGTTGGCTCCAAATTTGGTACCGGATGCTCAGTGTACGTGGGCTCGCAATTTTACGTCCGACGCGAATTCTGCGCCGACCAAAATTCCAAGTCTGGCGTTGATTTTGCGCCGCTTCGAAATTTCACGTTTGATGTTGAGTCTACTTTGGCGGTAAGACCTACGTCGCGCGCAACTCCTGCGTTATCTCGAACATCTGGATGGTACTTTTACGTCGGCTTTACGTCTGCGTTGATTCGATATTTTATGTCGAGTGATAAGTCTTCGCCGGTTTGAAGTCTCGCGTCAGATGCTGCTCGCGCTCCGACTTCAAATTTCATGTCGGAGCTATGCTTCCGGCCAAATGTTGCGTCACGTGGTAAACCTGCGAAGTCAGATGTTAATCTTGCGTCGGCTCGAATCAGATGCAAATTCTGTGCTGTCACCAAACTGAATGGCAGATGCTGTTCTTGTGTCTGCTCGAACTGTCACGCCAGATGCCAGCGGGCATGCCGCAGTCAACAAGCATTCGAATATACAAAATCATAGATGCACATCGGATGGGAGGTTAGCTTGAACGAAATAGGACATTCTCGGGGCAGCAATACAAAGCGGCGGCATATTCAAATGGAGGTCGGCGAACGACCCGAAACGGTTGCACATATTTAATCGCATATTCAAATCCCGGTCGGCAGATGACCCGGGGCGACTTCATTCATTGGACCAGTGCGTTTCAATGTGTACGTGGGACCGTTTTGAAACATGAAACGGGATGCTTATTAGTATGTCGGCAAGTATTTCGGACGAATTTTGATTTCTAAGTTTGCGTCGGTTTTTCAATTTCACGTCAGATGTTAGTTCTGCGTCTGTCCAACTTCGACACCGGATGCGAATCTTACGCGGATTGATGCCAATTTGCGTCGACGGAAGATTTTTACGTCGTATGCGAATGCTACGTTGATATTAAAGTTTACATCCATGCTGATTTGCGTTGGTTCGAAATTTTATGTGGGGTGGTAATTCTACGTCGGTTTCAACTTGCACGTCAGGTGTCAATATTGCGCCGAGTCGAAATATGTTGATTGTTATAGTGTTGAATGTAGGATTTACTCTTATGGGTTCAAGAAATAAGTGAACATATTGGCCTGCTTATGTACCTTTTTGGTTACCTTCAAGAATATCGTGTTCGATCGTCACTGCCAGCTGTTTTCTAAGCCTTGTGCTCGTATTCTGTATGCATAAAGGTTTGTGTGTATGTGAAGTTGTGTGCATGTATGGTGTGTAAAAACATATCGCGTGCATGTGCAGGAATATGCGCTTGTTTGCTGGTGCAAATCGGCATCTGTCTATGCGTGTCGTCTTTACTCGTGGGTCCTGCAGCTGCCGAGGCATGCGCCCAGAAGCGGATAATACGAATGTCAGAAGACAGAACGTGGGATGCGTGGCCTGCCAATCACGATGAAAGGCCGCCGCGGCAACGCCCACACTTCCTGGGAGCCGTGCCCGCCAGTCGAACCTCGACTGCCCATGCGGCTGACAGCAAGAGAATGAGGGGAGGAATCGGAAGTGGGGGGGGGGGCGGGGAGGGGGAATAGGAGGTGGTGGTGGAGGAGGAGGAGGAGGAGGAAGGAGGAAAAGGAGGGGGGGAGGAGAAAAAACAGGCGGAGGAGGCGGACGAGGCAGAGGTGGGGAGCAAGGGAACGATGGTGGTGGGGACGATGCGGCTCATGAGGAGGAGAAGGCGATGGCGAAGGCGGCGGCGGTGGAGGTGGAGGATGAGGAGGCGGATGGGGCGGAAGAGGAGGGGGGGAGAGAGGGGGAGGAGGGGGAGGAGGGGGGGAGGAGAGGGGGAAGGGCACGAGGAGGGGGCAGGAACGGGCCGAGGCCTCCCGCGGCCCCACCATCCCCGCCCCCCTCCGGCGGCCCCCGCGCGGCGCCCCGCGCCCGGCGGCAGGAGATGTCCGTGGGCAGGCGGCGCCGGCCGCCAGCCCGCCTGCGGCGCCCCGCGAGCGGGAGCGATCGGGGTTCTCGAGACCCAGACCCCCTCCTCCTCCCCCTCCTCCTCCTCCTTCCTCTCCTCCTCCTCCTCCTCCTCCTCCTCCTCCTCCTCCTCCTCCTCCTCCTCCTCCTCCCCCCCCCTCCTGCCCCCCTCTTCCTCCTCCTCCTCCTCCTCCTCCTTCTCCTCCTCCTCCTCCCTCCTCCTCCTCCTCCTCCTCCTCCTTCCCCTCCTCCGCCTCCTCCTCCTCTTCCTCCTCCGCCTCCTCCTCCTCCTCCTCCTCCTCCTCCTCCTCCTCCTCCTCCTCCTCCTCCTCCTCCTCCCCCCACTCCTCCTCCTCATCCTTTGAGCTATGTCGAAGGTATCACGACGGGAGGTTTGTCGCCATGTTCAGTGCCTGCGGGGCCCTGACCGGGCCTCTGGGCTGTCAAGAGAGCAATCAGGATGAGCAACTTCCTGGGTGGCCCTGACCGGGCCTCGGGGCTGTCAAGAAAGAAATCAGGATGAGAAATTTCCTGGGGGGGCCTGACCGGGCCTCGGGGCTGTCAAGGAAGAGATCAGGATGAGAAACCGGTTCTGGTGAATGAGTCGAGGTTTTTTGGGATCGATTTCATGAGCAAGTCGTGACGTCGGGGGTCTGGAGACGGGAGTCAGCCCTCGGGGTAAGGCGGAGGAAATTCATGCACAGGCCATGGAAGACGCTAAGTTTCTCGCTCGATGGTCTTACCCGAACGGGATGAGGCCTTCCAGAAGTCCAGCCCACCAATTTGAGTTAGATGCCACTTGAGACGGGGGTCAGCCTGTGGGGGAGGAGGGGTTCAGGATGTGGGATGAGAAGGAGGAGAAAAAGAATGAGGATAATGAGGAGGAGGAGGAGGAGGAGGAGGGGAAGGTGGAGGAGGACGAGGAGGAGAAGGAGGAGGAGGAGGATGGAAGTCCGACGACGACGACGACGACCCCTCGTGTCCTCGCAGGCACAAGTGGCAACTGTCGCATTTTGGGCGGGTGGCCAGGGCGTGTGACCCAAAGGGGCGGCGAAGACAAGGGTCCAAACGGAACCTTTTTCGGCCCCGAAGGGCCCTTTCCTTCACCCCCATTTTGGTCCGCCCGGGGAGGAAGTGCGAAGTCTTTGTCGCTGCAAGCGCAAGACATGTAGATCAATCTCGGGCATCGGCAGGAGCAGAAGTAACGCAACATCGATTGGGATCAGGATCGACGCCGTTGGGGAGATGTGAAATTTGCTCAACCTCCCGAAGCCCCCATGGACTTGCGGGTGCACCTCCTCCTCCTACTCCCCCTCCTCCTCTGGCACTGCGCAGAAGTCGGCGGGCAGCCGGGGGGGAAGTGAGAGGGGGCGGACTTCTACAAACCCCGAATTCGACTCTGACCTCATCCGGGAGGCCCTGACCAGACCCTCGGGCGTCGGCACCGGCACTGGCAGCGCCGCGGCGGCGTTGGAGGGCTGCGCCGCTAGGGCCGCCGCCTCGACCGAGCTGTGCTCGCCGAGGCCTGCCGCGAGAAATTCGGAGGATCGGCGACGCGCCCGCGGGGGAGGTTGGAATCAAGTCGGACGAAAAATTGAAAATACCACAACGATGATCAAACCATAGTCCAAAAATAGTCAGGGGACTATTTTTTGAGTATTTTTGGACCGACCTTCTTGGGGCATGTTTGGGGTGTTTTCCCCTACCCAGGCTCTGCCTAAAAGGGTTCATACTTTCTTAGATTAAAGGGGCCGGGCAGTGGAAACCGCCCCTGGCGGTTCCCCTAGTCTCTTGGGAGCCAAGCAAAAGCAACAGCAAAGGTAAGAGCAAACGCGCGGTTCCCCCAGTTGCGCACCCTGGGTGCCAAGCAAAAGCGAAAGCAAAGGCAAAAGTGAAAGCAAAAGCAAAGGCAAAGCATTATCCCAGTGCGACCCTACCTAGGAGTTGGAGCCCCTAGGAAAGCAGCATTAGTAGTAGCGGTTAAGCTAAGCTAACGCTAACTTACAGCTAAGCTAAAGTTAAGCTAAAGCTAAGCTACAGCTAAGCTAAAGCTAAGCTAACGCTAAGCTAAAGCTAAAGCTAAGCTAACTATAAGCTACAGTTAAGTTACAGCTAAGCTAAAGCTAAGCTGAAGCTAAGCTAAAGCTAAGCTAAAGCTAAGCTACAGCTAAGCTGAAGCTAAGCTAAAGCTAAGACACAGCTAATGCTAAGCTAAAGCTAAGCTAAAGCTAAGCTAAATCTAAGCTAAAGCTAAGCTAACGCTAAGCTACAGCTAAGCTAAAGCTAAGCTAAAGCTAAGCTAAATATAAGCTAAAGCTAAGCTAAAGCTAAGCTAAATATAAGCTACAGTTAAGCTACAGCTAAGCTAAATCAAAGCTAAAGCTAAGCTAACGCTAAGCTAAATCTAAGCTACAGCTAAGCTACAGCTAAGCTAACGCTAAGCTAAAGCTAAGCTAACGCTAAGCTACAGCTACCGCTAAAGCTAAAGCTAAAGCTAACGCTAAAGCTAAAGCTAAAGCTAGGGGGCGCAACTGGGGGAACCGCGGGGCGGATCCTGGGGGAACCGCCCGGGGTGGTTTCCACTGCCTGGCCCCTTTAAGCTAACACAGTAAGAACCCTTCTAGGCAGAGCGTAGGTAGGGAAAAAACAGCATGGCATAGCGCAGCATAGCATAGCAGAGCATAGCATAGCGCAGCATAGCATAGCCTAGCCTAGCCTAGCCTAGCCCAGCATAGCACTGCGCAGCATAGCATAGCATAGCAGAGCAGAGCAGAGCATAGCATAGCATAGCGCAGCACAGCATCCACTATTGCTGCTGCTATATATATACATACATATATAAACAAAACCAAGCAACATCAAAAACAAACGCAAAGCACAAGCAACAGCACAAGCGACAGCAAACGCAAAGACAAAGGCAAAAGCAAAGGCGAGAGCAAAAGCAAAGGCAATTCAAAGCAATGATGTAGATGTGGATGTAGGTGTAGATGTAGATGTAGATGTAGATGTAGGTGTAGATGTAGGTGTAGATGTAGATGTAGATGTGAGTCTCGGTGTTGATGTAGATGTAGATGCAGGTGTTGATGTAGATGTAGATGTAGGTGTAGATGTAGACGTAGGTCTAGATGTAGATGTAGGTGTCGATGTAGATGTCGGTGTGGATATTGATGTAGATATAACGAACTCCCCAGTGCCCCGCCCTCATCTCCGTGCCTGCTTGCTTTTGCTGCTGTCTCGGCGATTTGCTGCCTGCTTCTGCTGCTGCTTCACTTACGGCGTGGCGTCGGCGGTTATGGCGCTACTACTACTTCTTCTACTACTACTACTACTACTACGACTACTACTACTACTACTACTACTACTACTACTACTACTTCTACTACTTCTACTACTACTACTACTACTACTACTGCTACTACTACTACTACTACTACTGCTACTGCTACTGCTACTGCTACGGCTCCTACTACTACGACTACGACTACGACTACTACTACTATTCGTACTACTACTACTACTACTACTACTACTATTACTACTACTACTACTACTACTACTACTACTACTACTACTACTACTACTACTACTACTACTACTACTATTACTCGTACTACTACTACTACTACTACTACTACGACTACTACTACTACGACTACTACTACTACGACTACTACTACGACTACTACTACTACTACTACTACTACTACTACTACTACTATTACTACTACTACTACTATCACTACTACTACTACTACTACTACTACTACTACTACTACTATCACTACTACTACGACTACTACTACTACTACTACGACTACTACTACTACTACTACTACTACGACTACTACGACTACTACGACTACTACGACTACTACTACTACTACTACTACTACTACTACTACTACTACTCCTACTACTACTACTACCGCTACAACTACGACGATGAGGAGAAGGAGGAGGACGGCGTTTACCGCTCCTACTAATGTTGCTTTCCTAGAGGCTCCAACTCCTAGGTAGGGTCGCACTGGGATAATTTTTTTTGTAGGAAATCCCCCTGTAGGGGGACACGCCCGACTTAAGGTCAGAAGGGGCGGGCCGTCTCAGAAGGCTCGGAAGGCCACTGGCCTTCTGAGAAATGTTCCCATCCCTCCCCGAAAAGACAGGCACCGAATCCTTCCCCGAGGCTCGGAGAGGCCCCGCTGCCTGCTGAGAAGGCCTCCTCCTTCTCACTTTCCTCCCCTGCTCGCCTCCGACTTGAGACGGGGGTCAGTGCAAACGTGGGCACGGGGAACACCGATGTTCACGTTGGGCCATGCAACGGGGTGTTTTTCCGCGGTGGCAGCGGGTCCCGGAGAAGGCAAGTCCTAGTCTGGCGCCGTGTTCGGGCTCTCGGGGCCTTCCACGGGCCCCTGGATCCCGAGCACTTTTCGGGATGAAGAGCTCGTCCTGGGGAAGGCCCTTGGGTCCAGGACCCGTTTTTCCGATGCTCAGCGGGGTTGAGGATCGCCATGAATCGGTACGATGCCCAACCGTAGTTCCTGTCCATGTTGAGCAAGGTTTTCTGTCGGTGCCACCGCGGACGTGGTCCGGTTGAGGCAGAAGGCCGCCTGGCCAACAGCGGCAACTGTCGGTTTTGGATAACGTTTGGTGGTGGGCATCCTACTATTTTGTCCGTGCCCATTTCGGGCGTCCAACGGTATCATGGCCGGGGTGCGGACCTCGACACGGATCGATTTGTTGCTTTTGCGCTCGTTAATGCTATGCGTGCATGCTGACGCTGCGGGCGCCGTTCGCCCGACAGCATGCTGGACAAAAAAGCGGAGGACCCAGGGGGAGACCAAGGGCAGAAGCAGTCGGGGGCGCCCAAAGAGGGGGGTGATAACTAGGGGTGGGTGAGGTTCGTGGCCGGGGCCATTCTATCTCCCTAGATTCCATGGCGCCTCGTCTTATTTCAAGACGTCACCTGTCCCCCCCCCCCAGCGCACATGCCTCGGGCCATGATTTGCGAACCTCCCTTTCGGTGGACGCTCCCCTCCTGGACGCCTCCGCGGAAGGGATTGAGGAGTGGCGGATCGCCACGAAGGAACCGGGCCGGAGGAGGAGGAGGAGGAGGAGGAGGAGGAGGAGGAGGAGGAGGAGGAGGAGGAGGGAGGACCCGAGGGGGGGTGATCGAGGGCAGACGCAGTCGAGGGCGTCCAAGCAGGGGGTGACGACTAGGTAGCTGGGGGCAATGAAGGGGGGGGGGATGATTAGGTGGGGTCGGGATCGCCATGAAGGAAACGGTTCTTAGGAGGAGGTGGAGGAGGAGGATAAGGATGAGGAGGAGGAGGAGGGCGAGCAGGAGGAGGAGGGGGAAGAGGAGGAGGTCGGGGCTCAAGAGATGGGGGTCAATGCAAACGGAGGTCAGCCAGAGCGCTGGATCTTGCAGGATCCTGCAGGGCCAGGGCTGCACTGACCTAGGCTTGGGTGCAGGATCCTGTAGAGCCTGACTGAGCCAGGTTTGCATAGACCCGGGTCAGCAGATCCCCGAGGAGGAGAAGGAGGAGGAGGAGGAGGAGGAGGAGGAGGAGGAGGAGAGGGGATGACCCTCGAAGCAGAAAGAATTGCATAGACAAAAACTTGCGCTGATCTGCGCGGAATTCTTGGGTCGGCGCTGGGGCACCCCTGGCGGCGCCAGGGACGGGGTCCAGCGCCGATCCAGAAAATCAGTTCGGGCCTGCGAAAGGTTCTGTTTGTACAGTCTTTTAATCCTCGTGACCTGGAGGAGGCAACCTTGTCCTTCATCCTCCTTCTCCAAGCCGCGTTATCAGCACTTCCTGGGGTTATCGACCCATGTTTCCGTGTCGGGCCTCCTGGTCCTCGATATGGGTCGGTTTGCTGCCCTTGGCGCACACCGATGCTTCCTGTTGCATGGCGTGCATGCTGCCGCTGCGGGTGCCGTGGGTCCGACAGCATGCGGAACAACAAAACGCGGAGGACAGGGGGGATGACCAAGGGCAGAAGCAGTCGGGGGCGCCCCAAGAGGGGGGTGATGATTAGGGTTAAGTCGGACTTGTCCATATGGAGGAGGAATATTCAAAAATTGTTCAACAAATAGCCTGGGGACTATTTCTTGAATGTTTTATGACCATTTGGAGGTATTTGTGAATATGTTTTACTTTTCATCCAAAATGCCCCTGTACGGGGGACATGCCCGACTCAAGATTAGGGTTGGGTGAGTATCGTGGCCAGGGCCATTCTGTCTCCCCAGATTTCATGCCGCTGTTTCTGATTATGGTGAAGCCTCTGCCCCCCACCCCTCCCCCCCAGGGCCGCGCACATGCCGCGGGCCATGATTTGCGCACCCCCGTCTTGGACGACCCCCCTTCTTCGACGCCCCCATGACGGAAGCAGGCAGGGCTCTGGGGGGAGCGGGCCCGGCTTGTTTGTGTTGTGTTCCCGTCTTCGGGCTCTCGGGATTCTCCCAGGGCCCCCCAAAAGCCACCCAGGGTGCAGCCCTGGGCTCCGGGGTCCAGGACCGCTCCCCTCAGGACCCGCTTTTGGTGCGAGGAGTTAAGTCGGGTGTGTCCCTCTACAGGGGGGAATTTCAAACATAGTTTAAAAATAGTCCAGGGAAGATTGTTTTACTACCTTTGAGCATTTTCCTAATATTTTTAGAGTTTTAAAAAAGCGTCCAAAATTCGCCTGTAGGGGGACACGCCCGACTTAAGCGAAGAGATGGTTGAGGAGGCAGGTGGGATGCCGGCCGGACGCGGCATTGCACCACCCTCCACTCTGTGGGCCGACCACTGAGTGGCTCATGTTGCCCCAGGCCCAATGGGAGGGCTCGCCAGCGTCCGCGCCGAGGGGGGAAGCGCAAAGGGGCGGAGCTTCGCACGAGGTGGCGGGGCTTCGGAGAAGGCCCAGAAGGCTTCTCAGAGGGCCAGAGGTTCGGAAGCCTTCCGAGAATCGGGCCGGGCGGCAATGGGGGGGCGATGAACACAGGGGATGTCAGAGTTGCAGAGGAGAGAAGCCCCAAACGGGGTCCAAACGGCCCCTAAGCTGCCCTTGCGGGCCCAGCTCGTCCCACGCTCCTCGTCCCCCACGCGCCTCGCCCCGCCGTTTCACGAAGGCCCGAGAGGAGGCCCGCCCTTGCTGACCTCACCCCTCGGCGCGAGGTGGAAAGTAACGCTGAGGGATGGTGGAGGAGATGAGGCGCATTTGGCGGCGAGCGAGGGGGGGAGTCGAGAAGGAGGAGGCCTGCTCAGAAGGCAGCGGGGCTTCTCAGAAGCCCCCCGTCCTGCTTTGAGGTTATCCGTGCCTTCGGGGAAGGCATGGGAAACGTCTCAGAAGGCACGAGGCTTTCCGAGCCTTCTAAGAAGGCCCGCCCGTTCTCAATTCCCCCCGCGCGCTCGATCTTGGTGAACCTATGTACGGTAGGTTCGTGCGGCTTTGGCGCGCCAGCGAGGCCGGCGAAGGCATTCAAGTTTGAATTGCGCGACGCGGAGACACCGATGGACACGGTGACCCCACTGGACCCGACGATCGACTCAAGATTGAAAGATCGACGCGGTGACCACAAAAACTTCGCTCGCCGACGCCGTGCGAACTTACCGTAGAGGTGAGGAGGGGAAGGGGCAGGTTTTACCATGACGTTGAAATCTTATGGCTTGCTTGGCGATTCTCTGGGCGTCGCGGAGCTCCCTGTGAACGGCTGAGGAGGCGCTCTTGGTGGCCTCTTGGGGCGTCTTGGGGCTTTGGGGGAGCTCTTTTTTGTGCTTGGGCATTCCTCTGGGCTTTTTTTTCTGATACAGACAAGACGCTGCGACAATGACCATTTTGGCTCAGGAAGAGGTGTGGTTCGGGGGTCGTTCCTTAGCGCTAGTTAGGTAGATCGTTCGTGGCCGAAGCTCGCCGTGACCAGAAAACCCGTTGCGTTCCCAATTCATCGATTCATATGTTAGTACGATGGCGGTATCTCTTGGGCCGTCTGGGCAGCCTCTTGGGACGCCTGGGCTCCAGAGGTCTCCTGGAGCTCTATTGGGGCTTCTGGGGGTCCTTGGGCCGTCTTGGGTGATGCTTGCGCCACTCGGGGGCCGTCTGCGGGTCGTATCGCTCGCACGGGAAGCCATCCAGAACCGAAACGTGTGGGCAGCAAACGTCATTGCCTGTATCTGTTTTATATGGTTTTGAGCGTATAAGAACTCTATTGGGGCGTTCTGGGGACTCTTGGAGCCTCTGTTGGGTCCTCCTGGATAGTCGTCGACGCCTCTTGGGCATCCTGGAAGCTTTCTTCTTGGGACGGTCTGAGAATCCATCTTGGGAACATTGGAGGCCTTGGGGGTGTGATGAGGGAGGGGGGCCGTTGAAAGTTTATAAACCCGTTCCAGACAGCACAGGATACGTATTATTCCACGCCCTAGCGTGCCAGGGGGCACAGTGGCTGCTCTCTCTGAGGATTATTGTAGCTCCTGCTTGTGGCCAGCCAAGCCCCGCTCGTGGCCGGTCACGCTGCGGCACTCCTTTCGGGGGGCGTTGGGCCATTTCCGCGCCAGTCTTGGGCTGGCCATACGACTGAAGGAAGCCGATGACCATGACCAAGATGTCGCGGGATCGGTTCGACTCCGATCTTGGCCATGGTGCATGCAGGCATTCACCGTTTCTCGAGGATGACCAAGATTGACGACGACCACGATGAAATGACCAAGATGGACAACGACTAAGATTGACGAGTTCCACGAATCAATGACGACTACGATGGACAATAATTGGCACCGACGTTTCCGCTTTCAGTCCTGGTCGTGGTCATCGTTTTCTCTCCGTCCATCGAGGGTTCAAAATGGTACAAACGTAATTTTCTGAGATCCGCGCTGATTTCTTGGATCGGCGCCGAACCTCCCTCCCTGGCGCGCGGAGCGCGCCCGGGGCGGCACGGAAGGTGCCGTCAGGGGGTTCCAGCGCCGATCCAAGAAAGGCGGGCAGGCCTCCGACAGTTTATGTTGATGTGATTGTTTGTCCCTCGACTCCAGCCAGGGGCAGGGGCGCCGACGACGGCGACTCCGGCGGCGCCGGCGGCGTTGGCGACGAGGGCGGCGGCGGCGGGGGCTCTGCCAATTAACGGGGCATGGCGCGGCGCCGAGGCAGAGCTACTACACCTTGTACTCCGCCATCAACACCATGGCTTCTCACATCGTGTCCTACGGCCGGCCATTGCTGGCCACGCGCAGAAGGGGGTATGGGGAGGGGGGAAGGCTCCTTAGGAGCACCCCTGCTTCCTAGAAGGCGTGGGCCTCGTCTGCAGATGAAGGGCCGGCGCCCTCCAAGAAGCAGCCTCCTTCTGAAGCCTTCCTCCGTCCCCCTACTCCCTTGTGCGCACCGCCGACAGGGAGCGGATGATGCAGCAGTCGAAGGGGAACAAACATGCATGAACATAGGCGTATGAAGGTCCGCGCGGATTTCTTGGATCGGCGCTGGGCGTGGGCTGGCGGCGCCTCCGCCGCCACTGGCGTGCCAAGCGCGCCATGGAGGTGGGGGGGCCAGAGCAGGTCCGAGAAATCCGCTCGGACCGTCGAAAGTTTAGGTTCATGTAGCACCTCGCAAATGCGAATACGACTGACGGGTCGGGCGCGGGGTGGGTCGCAGGGGGGTCGCGGGCGGGTCGCGGGTGGGTCGCGGGGTGGGTCGCGGGAAGGTCGCGGGTGGGTTGTGGGAGAGTCGCGATTAGGTCGGGGGAGGGTGGCGGCTGGGATGCGGGTGGGTCGTGGTTGGGTTGTGGGAGGGTCGCGGGTGGGTCGGGGGAGGGTGGCGTGTGGGTCGCGGGTGGGTCGCGGGCCGGGTCGCGGGTGGGTCGCGGGGTGGTCGCGGGCGGGTCGCGGTCGCTGGTGGGTCGCGGGCCGGGTCGCGAGTGGAACGACGACATCAACAACAAACAACAACACACAACAAATAACATCAACACCAACAACAACAACAAAAACATCAACCACAACAACCGCAACAATCATTTCATGATTGTTCGCTCTCATCTGCTCGCGTCCCACTCAAAACGTATATCCCGAGCCCTCGATACCCGCCATTTTTGTCTTCGATCGTACCTCTTTTGGCGTGCAACCCCTAAGGCAGGGGAAGAGAGGACAGATGGAAGGAAGTGACAAGGAGGAGGGAGGATGATGGAACACGAGAAGGAGTAGCAAGAGGGGGGTTAAGAAAGCACGTGGCAGAACCAGACTGGCATATCGGGCGGGTAGACCCTAACGTGCGGGCCGGGAAGGCGGGCACAGGCGGCCAGTTCAAGCAGACGGGTTGTTGAAGCGTGCGTCCTGCGTGAACCACGAGGGAGTCTCGAGCGATAGCGCGATTTCCAAGTAAATCGTGAGATGTCCACAGTGAACAGCGTGATTCGTGAGTGTCGAGGGCGCGGCGTTCTAATGTATTGCGGGGAAGTCCTGCGCGATATCACGAATCCTGCATACATTGTGAGGAAGTCGCGCGCGAGAGCTCGAATCTGAAGAAAATTGTGAGGAAGTACCGTAGCACCCTGCAGATACGGATAAGAATTAGGGGGCGGTCTGGACGTCGGCAGTTTGCGAGACTCTGGAGAAGACCGCCGCAGGCGCCAAAGTGTCACAAATTATAGAAAAAGCCCGCCGCACGATTTTTTCGTTAAACTAATGTGCGTAGGTCGCGGGTGGGTCGCACATGGGTCGCGGGTGGGTTGTTATTGGGTTGCAGGGTGGGTCGCGGGTGTAGAAGGCAGAAAGTCCATCCCAGAATAATCTCCCCGATAAGCGAAACCGTTTATTAAACGCACACTAGGGACGAATCGAACAGGGCAGAGCTTTTTCGTAAACGCGGATGGCCATTAAGTAAACGTACATTGTCGGGTTGGTTTCTCCTTTTTTGAGGGTGGGTCGCGGGGTGGGTCGCGGGGTGGGTCGCGGATGGGTCGCGGATGGGTCGCGGGGTGGGTGGCGGGCTTGGGTCGCAGAGTGGGTCGCGGGGTGGGACGCGGGGTGGGTCGCGGGTGGGTCGCAGGTGGGACGACGACAACAAACCACAACAACAAACAACAACAACTTCAACTCTAACAACAACAACAACACCAACAACAACAACAACAATCATTATAATATTGCTCGTTCTTATCTGCCCGCGTGTCATTCACTATGCATCATTCACTATGCATATCCCAAACCCTGGATACCCGCCCTCTTCGTCTTCGATCGTGCCCCTCTTGGGGGGATATATTTCTTCCCGGCCACGTGTAATTGGAAAAGCGCGGGAGGCGAACCCGCAATCAGAGGCAGCGAACTCTGGCACCTGTCGGTGAGACCCCATTTCACTTGTCGCAAGCAGATATCAGCGGCAATCCACACTGAGACACCATTTCATTCGCCATAACGCTGGGGTCACTGCTTGCAGGAAAGCGAGATACGGCAGTGGACCGTGTTGTTGCCCAGCGGCCCCGCGGGAGGTGAAGTTGGAGCCCGACGTCATCAATCACATTGCTGGGATTCGCGCGTGCGGGAATGTGATCAATCTTATAGAATAACGAAGCGCCCTCACTACAGCGCCAGGATCTGCTTGTGCGAAAAAGGGTAAGCCTCAGCAGCAGGCGCTGGCGATGCTGCTCAGTGCGATGTGGAATGCAACGCTCAAGGAAACGTGGGAGGTGAACTGGGGCCCGCCGTCGCCGGCCACGTTGGGGTGAGAGCTCTGGCAATGTTCGGGGGCACATGGGGGACGATGCCCAAGCCGAACGTCACCAGCTGCAGCGCTGGTACCGGCGCGTGCGCGGCAGGCCGGTTGTCCCAATGGGCTCTGGCGCTGCCCAGCGGGATGTTCAGGGCGAAGTCGGAACCCGATGGCAACGCCGAAGCCCGCTATCATCAGCAACAGTACTGGATCAGCACGTGTGGGGAAGTCTTCAGATACAGCGATGGTGCGATAAAGATGGCTAGCGCGTGTGAAAAAGACGGGCAGCGGCTGGTGGTTCTGGCGTTCGTCGGCATGATGTGGGCGGCGAGGCCGCAGCCCAACGTTATCTCAGCTACATTGGTGGAGCCAGGCGCTCCCGCCTTGTGTGTTGTTTGGGCGGCATCGCTAGTGCATGCACTTGCGATGTGCGCTGGCACCCATGGGTTGAGGCGTGCGCTTGGAAGGGGCGATATCAATTCGCCGGCCCAGCGGGCCAGAGGCGTGCTAAGATTTCCGGCAACTGATGAATTGTATTTCTAGTTCGCGCGCGCGGGGCGGCCCCTGGGGGCCCCCGGGACGAGCCGAAACGGCCGGAAAAATCCCGGACGCGGCCGCGCGGGGCCGCGCGGCCGCGCGTACGCACCAATCGCCTCTGAGCGATATTCCTTCGGAGAGGCGCGTATGAGAACAGTGCTTATTCTTCAGAAATGAGAGTTCGAAGGAGGTCCCAGGCGGGAGCGCCGTTATGAGAGTTCAACGTAGCTCAGTTGTGCGGTGGGTCCCGCGCGGGAGCGCCGCTCCTTGAGTAAATTGTGCGGGAGTCTAAAGCGGGAGCGGGGTTCCTGAGTAAATTGCGAGGAAGTCTCAGGCGGGAGCGCCGATCCTGAGTAAATTGTAAGGAGGTCTCAGGCGGGAGCGGGGGTCATGAGTAAATTGTGAAGAAGCCTGACGCGGGAGCCGCAGTTTGAGGATCAAGACTTTCCTTGTAAAAAACAAGGTGCGACCGTCGAGGGGCGCACTTTGACTGAGGAAAAGCAGTGTGCACCGTTGGGGGGATCAACAATAATTATTCTTCAGAGGTGAGAGCTCAACAACAACTGCAAAATCAATAAGAACACACATTCTAATACTGTTCGCTCTTACTTTCCTATGTGTCATTCGAAACGACTTCCCCGCGCGCTGGATACCCGCCCTTTTTTCCTTCGGTCACACTCCCTTTTGGGGGATTATTTCTCTTTGCGGGATGGGCGGCGGGCCTAGGCGGGCAAACCTGAACGGGCTGACAATCTTTCGCGGGCGCACATGCGCCCGCCATTGGAATTGATGTGGGCCCTGCAGAAAGAGGAGGGAGAAAACGAGGGATAGTGGGGGGAACGGATTGGGAGTGACGAAGGAAGGGGGGGAAACGCCAGGAGACAAGGAGCGAAGAGGGGGGCGGTTTATGAGAGGCAAAAAGACATACACATATATATATATATATAGAGAGAGAGAGAGAGAGAAAAAGAGAAAAACATATAAGAGAGGTAGAGAAAGAGAGAGGGGGGAGAGGGAGAAAAAAAGAGGGAGGGAGGAGGCAGGAGACGGGAGGGAGAAGGGAGGAGGGAGAGGAGGGAGAGGGGATAGGGCAGAGAGGCATACGGATGAGGGAAGAGGGGAGGGAGAGAAAAGGGAGGAGAGGAGGGAGGAGGGAGGCGGGAGAGGGAGGAGGAACAGACAGGTAAGAGCGAGAACGTTCGAGGAAGTTCCAGGCGAAAACGCCGTTCCTGAAGAAAGTGTCGGGCGGGAGTCCACGACGGGTTGGCGATCCCCTGACGGGCGGGTCGGGCGGGTGGGCCATTCAAGCGGGATGCCTGATTATGGCGAGAGCGCGATTCATGAGTAAATTGTGGCGGCGTCCTTGGCGCAGCGTGTTTCCTGAGGGTCGAAAGCGCGACTTCTGAACACATTGCATGGAAGTCACAGGCGAGAGCGCAATTCCTGAATAAAATGTGAGGGGCTCTCTGCCGGGAGCGGGGGTCTTGATTAAATTGCGTCGGAGTTTCCATTCAAGTGCGGAAAGGTCTCAAGCGAGTAAGTGTGAGGAAGTCTCAGATGTTAGCGGGGGTCCTGAGTAAATTGCAAGCGAATCGCAGGCGGGAGCACCGATCCTGAGTAAATCGTGAGAAAGTCGCAGGCGGGAGCGGGGTCCTGAGTAAATTTGGAGGAAGTCTGAGGCGGGAGCCGTTGTTGTTGTAATCCCGGGGACAGGGGCACAGTTTGAGCACCAAGACTCTCCCTGTCAAAAAACAGGGTGCGAGCGTCGAAGGGCACATTATGATCGAGCAAAAAACAGCATGCACCGGTGATGGGGGGAGCAACAATAATTATTCTTCAGGAGTGAGAGTTCTACAACAAGAACGCAACAAGCAGAACACTCCCCACACATTCCCTATTCAGCCACGTTCCCAAGGACAATGAATTGCCGTTCGGCACCCTCACTCTGATCTGGCGGGGGCCGTTGTTGTC